AGCCTGCTTCTCCCTCTGCCTGTGTCTCTGCCTCTCTCTCTCTCTCTCTCTCTCTCTCTCTCTCTCTCTCTCTCACTATCATAAATAAATAAAAATTTAAAAAAAATGCTTAAAAAAAAAAAAGAAACAAGAGAAAAAGATTTACCATTCTAGCCACAACTCCCAGTACAGAGCTAGGTTTCAGACAGAAAGTTAGTTTAGCCTCCTGTCTTTATATTCACATTTAGAAGGATAAAAATGTTTGTGTTCTTAATAAGACCACATCTTAGCACCTTGAGGCAAAGCAGGCATACATAATGACTTGCCAAAGCAAAGAGAACAGCTAGAACGAAATGCATAATCAGAGAAACCATTAAATTTTTGCACCTTAATTTTTGGCAGATTTTGTAGTCAAGTGCAACCTGACAAGAGTAATGAATAAATAAACAGCAGTTCTAGACATCTGGTAGTGTGGGAGGAATAGATATTTTGGCCTATCAAATAAATATTCAAATGGTAAAACACTGTTGATTCCTCCCTTGGCAAGCAACATTGGTGAATGCTCATGGTGGGCAAATCTATGGGGAAATGCAAAACTGAAACCTGAACACTTCATGGTTCAGGTCCCAAATAATGTGAGGGCCTCAGATATTTGTTCACTTAGAGCTAAAGCGCACACCTGCCAAACCATGGGATTGACCCCTCCTCGAAGGAGTGAGCATGCTCCCCATCACAGTGCTGGGGATGCCCTGACAACTTCTACCTTAGATTCTCCCTTTCTCCACTTCCATGGCTGATGAATGAGTTGTCAATTCTTTCTCAAGAATATGTCAATCTCTCAAAACAAGTTCCAGTTAAATTTTCAGTAGGGAGCCATACCTGCCTCTTAAAGGGACTTGGCCCCACTCCCCATGTTTTGTGCATCTCATTTAATTCTCCGAAGTCAACCTTGTTGCCCTATTTTCACATAGTTCTAGGTCAGGGTATCTCAATACCACCCCAAGTATTGTCCACAGACCCTGTATGAGCTGTCAACTGCCTTTGGATCTTTAAAATTTGACTTTTAATCACATACATAGCATAAAAAACTCTATAAGGAGAAAAAAATAACTAGTATCAAGCATAGTTTCAGACACTAAAATCTTTCTGGCCATTTCAACTACCAAAGAGCTGGATCTTGTGAGCAAATCAAATCCAAGTGTTAAAGTTTTATCATAACTACCTCAGTATTCATAGCTGGCTTCCATCCCAGGAAAGAATTTCAGAATAAGAAAAATAGACTATCTTATAATTAAAAGGAAGCTTCCTTATTGCTTTAGTCTATACTCCATTTATTATCACAGAAATTAAGGGTTTGCTTAATGATGTTGCTTAATTACGTGTCTTTAAATGTAAAACCAATATTGCCACCTAGTGGCAATCTAAGACACCTACTAAACAGGCTATCTAAACCACAAAGGATAAACAGAAAGGACAATAAAAATTCAGTATATGTAAAACCTAAAATTAGAAGCATGAAATAAAGTTCTAGAGAAGGTAAATACTTCAGTGAAATGAACTGTTTTCTAAGACTTAAAAGCTAAGAAAATGTATCAGTTAAAAATGCGGTTTCTAATGTCAGTGTGTGGCGTTACCCTGGATGCCACAGGTCAGGGGGTACAAAGAGGACAGAGCAGGTCTTGCTTCCCTTTGGATTCTGAAAGCAGGCCAGAGGCCCTGTAGGAGAAAGGGCACCGCAGGGGGGCCCATGTGGAATGCCAAAGGAGCATTCCAGGAAAGTAGTGCCTGTGGATGAAAACGGCCATCACGGTAGACCAAGGCTACCCCCAGGACCCAAAGGAAAGGCTGTCCAAGTAATGATGATAACCATTCAACCATAAAACTGAAGGAAATCCTGTCATAGGCTACCACATGGATGAACCTTGAGGATGTTACACTAAGTAAAATAAGCCAGTCAAAAAAAGAAAAAAAAAAAAACAAATACTATGTGATGCCACTTATATGAGGTACATAGAATAGTCAGATTCATAGAGACAAGCAGAACACTGGTTGCCAAGGGCTGAAGGAAAAGGAAAAGTAGGGTTGTGTGATGGGTATGGATCCAGTTTCAGTTGGGAAGACAAAAAGTTCTGGAAATTGGCATACAACGTGAATGTACTTTACAGTACTTACACTTAAAAATGGCTGAGGGCAAATTTTACATGCTTGCTTTCTTTTTTTTTTTTTTTAACCACAATTAAGAATAAAAATAACAATAACAATAACAACAGCAAAGCCCTCTGGGTGGCAACACCTCCTGAGGTAAGTGCACAGGCAGGGGTTCCTGCAAGACTTTTCAGTTTTCCTGAAATCAGACAACGCACTTTCTCTGTGTCTCACGCACTCCTGTGTCCCCAGAAGGCTGCATCTGCTCTGCCCAGCCCCCAAACCCTGCTTTTCATCAGGGTTCCACTGTTCCCCTTGGAAGCAGCACCTTCAGGCTTTCAGCCACTACCTATGTATGTTCCTGATCCCAAATCCACCACCTTCTGGACAATCTGCTCTCCTGAGTCTAAAGCAAACAAATATCCAGCCTCCAGCAGCTGACACCTCCACCTCAGACATCACCTATAGAAACCAAAAGTCATCTTGTACCTACAAACCCATCCTCAGACTCAGATGGTGGCCCCACCCTACCCCACCTCAGTCCTTGCTGGGCACTGGTCCTGACTTTCCAGCCCTTCACCCAAACTGCCCTGGTTCTGGCCTCACATCCTCTCTAAGGCCGCCGCCACCACCAGCTCTGCCTCTTGCCCCTGGTCCAGTGCTTCTCACACTGCCTGTGATGAAGCACTAGCAGAAGTCTGCACCCTCATTTTGAGCAGCATTACCCCCAGGCAACCCCCAACGACTCCTTGCCGCAGTCTTGGGTCAGTTCAGCTGCTTTCCTCACAAATACCAGAGTGATGGTTTTAAAATATAGAGTTGACATGCTGAGGCCCTAATGGCTCTCCCTAGCAGTCATTTTCAACTGGCCATGCTTTTGGTAACAGTGACTGTTGGTTCATCCGACATGTATTGCCAAGAGCCAGGGATGCTAAATGTCTCGGATCTCAAATATTTCTCAAATGCTCAGAGTGCCCCCTTAGAGGCCTTGAGAAAGGCCCTGGGGCCTTAAGAGGGCTCATGGCTACTCTGGCCATCAGGTCCCTACCTAACCTTCCAGGTTGGTATCCACACTGCCCGCCTCCTATGCAACATGCTTCTGCTTCTCACCTGGCTGCCTTCACTTGGCTGTCTACAGAGAAACCCTCCCCTGCTCCTATCCCCCTCCTTAACCTCACCTATTTTCCTTATTTTAGGAAATAGTACCTTATTTTTTATTTTTATTGTATCGTGATAAGAACATCTAACATAAGCTCTGTCCTCTCAATAAGTATTTAGTGTCCAACAGAGTTCAATGCTGGAATGCAGATCCCAGAGCTTATTCATCTTACTTAATTGAAACTTTATGCCAGGTAATAATTACTCATTTCCCCTTCCCCTGGTTACAACCACCCTGGTCTTTGATTTATGAATTTGATTATTTTAGATACCTCATGTAAGTGGAATCATGCAGTAACTGTCTTTCTGCACTGCCACTTTGCTTTGAAATTGCCTGTTTAATGGGCCTCTCTCCTCTCCTGGACTTGAGTTCTTTAAGTATAAGGACTATACTTTGCTGCTACCTGTGTGCTCAGTGCTTTGCTCTGTAAATATTGAATGAATGAATGAATGAGAATGAATGAGAGGTTCATAGATAAATTCTACTGACTAGGTGAGTCCTTGATGTGTAAACAAAATCCTGACTTTAGTAGAGATGTCAATTGGTCTCTTCTTCCTTTCAGTGACTAGAACTCCTGGCGTTTTGGCTGGATCCATAGGCTACCCAACTAGATATTACCTTTCCCAGCCTAGGTGTGCCCACATGACAATGGTATATAGGGGGAAATGATGGAAATATGTATACTACTTCAAGGTCATATCCTTAAAAGGAACCTGGTTGTCCTCCACAAATGGGAATGCCCATGTAGTGGTAGTAAACCAGTTCCAACCATGCCAACGAGGACAAGACATTTCAGCCCATGAAATAAAACAGAAGGATCCTGGAGCAGAGTTGCCAACCCCTAGCCCATCCACCAACAGGACTATTTGTGAGGGGAAGTAAATCTCCACCTTCCTTAAGTCATTGCAGAAAGAAAGCAATCGGTCAGAGATACACATCTCCTGTCAAAGAGTTCTTGCCGAGAGCTGAGGGATAGAATTCATCTACAGACAAGCACTTCTGTCTTAAAGGCCATAGCAATGCAGTGTAGCGACCACGCTGGGAGGGCTGTTTCTTCTGCTCAGCCAAAGAAGAAAGCACCTCTATGGCAAGACAAGAAGGTAGACCTTCCTACCTTCCTGCTGAAGGTCTACTCAGACCTTCAGCATTATTCATAGCAGCTGTAGATTCAGTTCATGCCTATTTTAAACATTATTAAAATGTACGTGCATGTGTCGATTTTTCTCTCCAGAATCCTTCTTGGATATTACATTACAAATCAACTCAAAAGTTCAATTAATGATATCCAATTAAAAAACTGATTAAGAGACTCATGGAGGAAACACCACACTAAGGTTAATGAAAATGTTATTTCAACATGAAAATTGCCTTAGAACCTGCTACTAAAATTTTGAACATTAATTATCCCTGCTATTTTAAGCCTTGCTTTTAAAATGTTATTCCTTCCACTTTTTTTATACTTTATGACAAAACCACAAGAGTCCTACAGAATTATGCAAGTCTCTTAAAAAAAATAGGAAGAATTTAGAAGACAATGCTTTGAGCATCAGGAATTAACAAGAGCATTTTAAACAAGTCAGTATTAAATAAGCAAACAAGTCAGAAGAGTTACTCTCATCTAAATAAAATGGATTTTATCTACAGAAGGAGGACTTTGGAAAACGTGAAAGTAACAACAAATAAGTAACTAGCAGACATCCCAGCCATCACTACATACCTGTGTGAGATTTGTTGCTTGCTTTAAGATGCTTTTTTTTAACTGTTCCGCTCTCTTTGCATGAAAAGAATTACTTTGACTCTGGATGACAAATACAATTCCTTTTAAATCTAGAACCAAAGGAAAAAAAGCTTTCAGGTATTTATTTTTCAACTGAAATAAACTTAAAAATGGATTTAAAAAAAAAAAAGTTGTAAGGCAAGCCTTCAGGCCATAAACTCTTAAGGGAAAAAAAAAATCAATGTAAATGTAATCATAGCAACAAAAATCTCTTTTTAAACTGATCTCTGAAACATCCTTCCTAGAAGTTAGCAAGTAAATAAGCTCACTGTACTAGATCAAATCTGTGGTAGCAAACTGTGAATCCGCTCCTACATCTGTCGAAAGATGACTGTAAATGTGAGAAAGTAGGAAAGTGTCTACAATGCTAGTCTCCCCAGTAGCTGAAAATCTTGTTTGCAACTAGCCGCCTAACAACTCACACATAATCCTACACTGCACTATTACCTGCTATGAGTTGAAGTGTGCCCCCTGCCCCAACCCCACAAATGTCATATGTTCATGTTCTAACATGTAGGGCCTCAGCATGTGACCTTACTTGGAGCTGGGTCTTTACAGAGAGGCACTCAAGTTCAAGTGAGGTTGTTAGTGGGGGACCTAACCCAGTATACTTGGTATCCTTACAAAAAGAGAAATCTAGACACAGATACACCGAGGGAAGATGATGTGAAGCCACGCACTAAAGACAGCCATCTACAAGCCACGGTGAAAGGCCTCAGAAGAAATCAACCCTGCCCACACCTTGATCTCAGACTTCTGCCCGTCAGAACTGTGAGACACATTTCTATTGTTTAAGCACACAATTTGTGGTAGTTTATTGCAGCAGCCCTAGCAAACTAATACATGACTTCAAGAATGTTCTGGATGGCTCTTTAAGATGACACTCAACAGGGACTGCTTCTGACCCATTAGGTCACAAGTACTTGCAAATAAATAACTCAATAATCTCTACTCTATTTACCATGGCACCTAGCCAGAATTAAGTGTTATCTCCAGGAAAACAGCCACAATTCTATAGGAGCAGGGCTTCAACATGAAGTGTTGCATAAAAGCCCATCTACAATAACACTGGCAGTATTTACTAGCCCCCTAGGGACTCACCTCAGGGTGGCCAGCTTTCTCACAATGGCTAGCAAAAAGTAAACCCTCGTATGTTAGGCCCACCTGACCAGGGAAGACTACTTGCTTGACAGCAAAGATGGTTGCTCAGTCCCCACAATGGAGAAACACATTAGGTTCTGAGCTTACAATAAAGCAACAGATAGAAACAGCCATCATGTCAGCAGCCTGCCACCAGACAGGGGCATTGGCGGAAGGCAGACTTCATATAAATTGTAGCTTCCAGGCAGGTTTACAGCAATGGTGGGGACCTGCCCCCTACCATGTGCCTTTCCCTTTAATACCTCGATTCAGAGACGTAACCTGGTTTTAATTTTATTCCTTAAATTTTATTGTTCCTATGTTCAGTTCCATAGTTCCATTCATTTATTCACTCATTCAAATATTCATACAACAAATAGCTCCACAGTGAGCCATCTAGATCCTAAAAATAATCCAAAATGCTCTTTGGTTAAAACTTAATAAAAAATTTAAAAGGAAATGCTCAACAACCTACTGAATATGACCTAATTCTTTTCCTGTAGGAGTTTATATAAATATGAACATTCCACGTACCTACCTACCTAATTCAAATCAGTTTCTTGGCTGTATAAATAGGACACACAGATAAGACTTAAACAAGTATCTTATAATTTCAACAGAAATGTAATATTCTATCTATCATTCTATACTATCTGAAACATTGCTGTTAAGTGACATATCAAAAGAGGAGTTATAAAGACTTACTTTTGTTAGAAATGAAATAAATAAACCTCAGAGAATAATTTTTGCAAAATTTAATAAAGCTGAAGACACATTCCCAATGACCCAGAAACTCCACTCCTACTAATCATCCTTGAGAAACTTGCATACCTGTAAAAAAAAGGATATATAACAAGAGTGCTCACAGAAGGATTGTGTAAAAGTAAAAATTTTGAAGCAACTCAAATATCCACTAACAACAACACAATTGGAATACTACGCAGCAATGGAAATTAACTAGCACTTGATGCGTCAATCCAGGTGGATATTATAGATGAATCCTACAGATTGAAAAAAAACAGCTACAAAGGAATAACCATATAAATCAATGGTCTGTGAGAAGATAAGCACAAATATATGTAAGATGGATATATACTATATAAATGCAAAAAATATATATATACACATACCATATCATATGTGACCAGAAAATATAAAAGATTACATGAGAATGATATAAACACCAAACTAAGATCATAGTTAAAAGGCTTCAGCTATGTTAGGAATGTTATATTTCTTAAACTAGGTGGTAGATACGTGGATGCCCATTACTCTTTGTAGCTTCCTGTATGTTCAAAATAATTCATAATAGAGTTTTTAAAAGAGCAAATCCATCTGTCAAAAGGTTAATTCTGCAGCAATCAACTTCTGCCTTTTCTTCTACCAGATAAGCAAAACTCTCACCGATCCCACAAAAACAACAGTTCTTCCTCATGGGGAAGAGGCTTTACAAGGAGGAAAAAAGTCAATTCTTCCCCTTTGCTTAGACCAGAGTCACATGCTATGAGCTGTATTTGTTTTTTCTGCTACTAAGAAATCATCACGCCTTGATCACGTGAGCTATGAGCACTCGTCCAGCAAACATCTCTAAATCTGTGTTGAGTTCAAAGCTCTGTGCAAGGCTGCACAGTCCCAGCAAGTAAAAGCCTGAGCCTAGTTCAGAAGGCAGCCCTCACAACACAAAGCCAAGCAGAGGAACTAGAGAAGCACAGAGGAGGGGGAGCAAATGTAAGGAGGGTTTCTGGAAAGGGGCATTTCCTGAGTTTCCTTTAAAATGCAGCAATTATCTGCAGACTCAGGTACAGAGGGTGGCAGAGAAGGAAGCAGGGTTATCACAGAGCCCACAGCCTGCCTTCTCTCTGCAGCATCAGGAGTAGATGACCGGGGGAGTCTGTCAGGCATTTCTGAGAAAAAGATGAAGGGAACAGTCAGTGATAAAGTTAGAGAGGGAGGCTGGCTCAACCAGATCAGATTGTGAAGGATTTAAGTGCCACACTAAGAGAATGGATCTATAGATTAAAAGCTTTCAAACTGGGGTAGGGCCACAGAGCCATCCGGGACCCCAAAGAGTGGGGAGTTCCCAGAAGAAGCAATGAGGACACTGTCCTGGGGATGCCCAGAGAAGAGGTGAGAGGAGTTTGAGGGACAGAGGAAACAGTGAAGGTTTGGGAGAGTAAGTGAAATTAGGGCTCTGAAAACAGTAACAGTATGGCTAAGAAGTAAGATCCATTCTTATTGGATTGGCAGTTACCGGTGATAAGGCAAAAGAGGAAGGGTGTACCCAACCCAGTTCCTAAAACCCTAGTAATAATGAATGACACAATATCACTGAGAAGCCATCCAGCCCCACCTCCATTCTGGGGGTTGGCAGGGGAGGTGACTGGGAGGGACAAGTTAGCATAGTTAGGTGCTAAAAACTGTTTATATACTCAAACTCCTGATGTTCCTCATCTCAGCTCCAAGAAAGACTTGTCTGACAGACATCCTGAGCTCTCCCTAACTGATCACATTCTGTCTGAGTCTAGACCCCAGGACTGACCTTAGTGGCAGTCTTCTCTGCCTATGCTGTTCCAGCCTCTGATTCTCAAACTCCTGCTGCCCAGTCAACTGAGCTAAATAAGACGATCCCCCTATTTCCTCTTCACGTCGGTCACACCTCTCTGAACACACTGCAATTTGCCAACAGAAAACACTATCAAAACTCAAGACAGATGGTCATTGTTTCTCCTCCAGGAATGGACAATAAATGGGTCATACCTTGAGTGCCTGACAACAATCAGGGGCATGATGGGCCAGAAGAGGAAGGTAAAGAAATCAGTCAAGGCTGGGAAAGAACCCGTACAGTTCTGAGGCCAACAGTAAGCAGCAGAGTACTAAGAAAAGATGACAGAACCAAGGAAGTGGTTAGGAAAGATCCCTAAAGGAGAAATAATAATTCTTTGAAGGAGAAAGAAATCAAAGGTTCTCTATTTCTCAGGTGTTGAGCACCTATCATGTGCCAAATGCCCTACTAAGTGCTAATCCTTCCTGGTCAGAGGTAATTTAAAAACATGGATTCCATCCTGCTGCTGTCTTTCTGATGAGGAATCGGTGTGCAGTTCTTCTGATAAAAGTCAAATAGCAAGAGGCCTTAGGACTTGAGGCTGAGGGATAAATACACATACACACACACACACACACACACACACACACACACGACAGACCACTTCAATTGTGTTCTACTTGGTGAAAATAATTGTCACCCATGAACCTACTGACTAGGCAGTGAGCCAAAACAGAAAAAAGGCCGCCCCAACCTGAGTGTGGTGAGACTGGTCTTCTAAGAGGACTGCTTTGGTAGCCCATCCCCGTCCTGCAGACCCATGTTAACACTGTGGCAAATAAGGCCCCTGGGTCTTCTCTGGATAGGCTGATACCAAATCACATATGATTAGATTTGCCATTTGTAATTGTAAGAATGTTGATTTACTTATTCTGGTAACTTTCCCTTGGTACTTTAAAGCCCATATCCCAGACTAGCAACTTGTTAATCACCATTTTCAGATTTTTCAGGACACCTGGATGGCTCAGTTGGTTAGTGTCTGACTCTCAGTTTTGGCTCAGGTCACAATCTCAGGGTGGTGAGATCAAGCTTCACATTGGGTTCCATGTTAGAGGTGAAACCTGCTTAAGATTCTCTCTTTAGTTCCCCCCTCCACCCCCTCCTTAAAAGTAAAATATAATCATTTTCTATAAGGAGCCCCAGAAACCCCATAAGCTCCCATAAAATAAACATACAAACACCCAAAATCACAAATGTTGGCTGCATAGAGAACATCTCCACATGGGGAGGAGTGGCTGAGCATCCAGGATGTCATAATATAAAGAAGAAAAAACAATGAACCAATATGGCTCCTTCAATCTGCCAGTCTCAGAACTGAAGGCATACATGCCTGGGGCCCCAGCACAAGCTATCCTCCCAAAAAAAACCCAGGGTCATTCTCCTGCCTTCTAGACTCCACAGAACCCAGGCCTATGAAAGGAAAGCCTACAAAAGAAAATGTGCCCTTTCTCTACTGTCCAAGGAGACACCAGCTTTACCCTCTCAACACACTGGGGCATTTTTCTCATAAGAAAATGACAATAGTAACAACAACTGTGACTTCATGGTCACATTTTTGAAGATGCTTACAATCTTCTGAAAAGGAGTATGAGTAAGGGTACAGAGGGGCCAGGGAAACTACAGGATGTCTACAAGGATCCAAGAAGCTGCTTCTGTACTAGGGTTCTCAGGATGAGTTTGACTGATATGATTGGTAAGCTGATCTCCAGGGAAAGTGATGACTGCAAGTCAACATGTAGAAAATCTGGCTCCAGGCAGAGGTTAGTCCTTTTCTCCCACTAAGTGTGGGCCTCTAATGACAGAGACTGTGTCTTACTCATCCCCATCGCCCCTACAGTGGCCACCTGGCACAGTCATCCACCCTAATTGGAAACTCAATAAATGAGGGTCAACGAATTCAATCTAACATATTGGCAGTTGTGTCTGGTACAAATCACATGCCACCATGTCAATCTGAAAAGTGTTCTCCCCATGTCTTCATGAGGGTAGATGCTGGGTCAGGCCCAAGATGGAACATGTATTTGCCCAAGGATATTTACCTCATAAATAAAATAAGAAACAGAAATTCACTTCACTGAAATATAATTTATAGGAAATATATAAAAAAAAGAAAAAAAAAGAAATATATACCTGGGTATATACTCATAAGTTAAAAAAAAAAAAAAGCATTACTTACCTATGTCACTTTTCCTTGAGACACCACTCTTCTCCAAATTCTGTATTTTGGACAAAAGAGAAAAAGATAAATCTCTCCACATATCAAAGCTAGCAAAACACCAAATAAATATGCATGGTACACAGTAACATTTAGGTGAAAACGGTGAAGAGGAGAGCTTGGCAATGCTTCCCTAAAGAAACAAACCAAAATGTATGGGGGAGTGAGCAGAGATGATACACTTCTGCATCATGACAGGAGCCTCCTACGGGGCTGCCCCTTTCTTATGTGATCTTGGACAAGTCACTTAATTGAACTGAGCCTCTTTCCTCCTGGGTAAGATGGAGCTAAAGCTAACTCTTAACTGGTTCACAATGTTCTGGGGTGAGTTCATTTAAAAATCCTGTGAATTCAAAAGCATGGTAAACAAAACAAACAGTATCAATGCTGGCAGTGTGTTTTTCACAAAGATGAGCTCCACTAATTATGGTATTTATCATCTTGTGGGCTCAGACACACTGTCATCCAGAACATCACCATGATGTGCTCCTCCACCTGAGGAGCAGTACTGAGGGCCTCAGCAGAGCCCGAGGAAGCAGGCAGCCTGTGGCTCAGGAGCACTCACGAGCACAGAAAAAGCATCTCACAGCTACAGAGCTTGGAAGACAGAAATCCAGACATGGGCACAGAAATACCTGGTCCTGATCCTGAGTAGATTAGGGGAGGGGCTCATAAAAGATTTCTCTGCCAAAGTGCAAAGTGTCAGCCACTAAATCTGCCATCCTCCCTGTCTTCTCCAGCAAACGAGGAAAAGAAGTTTCCCTCTAATTGCCCTTTTCTGCTTCTGACTGCCATTCACTATAATTATAACAACTGGACAGTGGCAAATATCCTTCAGTTTTCTTCACAGGCTGCAACAAGAAATGCATTCATGAGCCTTTACCAACAAAATGGGGAACAGCTTCCAAGCCAAGATACAGCCACACAGAGATGTAAATTCTCAGAATGCCAAAGGGATCATGACGGTAGACAGGGAGGATAGAGAGGGAAACATAGGATACCGTCTACCTTTGGCAGCATTTCCTGCCATTATCTTTGTCTCAAGAGTAGAAATACCCCAAAGCAGAGGAGAACCTCATTGTGGTGTATTGATCTGTTGTGCCTCAGGATCAAGTGACATTTTACTTAATCATAATGAAACATGGACTTTTTGGAAAAGCCCACTAAAAAACACTGGAATGCTCTAGCCACTTCTTTGTGCTGAACCAAAGTCAGGTTACCATCATAAGTTAGCACAAATCGACTCTGCATCTTCCACAGTCTGTCTACCCTCGGAGAAGAAGCGCCAGCCTCAGAACCAGAAATGCCGCTGAGCATTCACCGTTAACCTGCTGCCCACCCCTTGGCCAAGCTGCCCACTCCTTTCAAGGCCACAGCTTTGGCTGGGAAGTGAGGATCATGGAAAACTTGAAAGCTTAGATTTAAAAATAGCATTGGAGTGGGTAAAGAAAATATAGTGTATACACAATGGAATATTATTCAGCTTTAAAAAGGAAGGAAATTCTGGCACATGCTATGACACCAATGTACCTTGAAGACCTCAAGCTAAGTGAAATAAGCGAGACACAAAAAATACTGTATGATTCCACTACACAATGTGATTCATAAAAACAAAGTAGAGGGTGGTTGCCAGGGGCTGGGGAAGGAGAATTGAGAGCTGTTTAATGGGGACAGTTTCAGTTTTGTGAGACGAAAAGAGTCCTGGAGATTGTTCGCACAACAGTATGAATACACTTAATACTGCTGAACTGTACACTTAGAAACGGTTATGGTTATGGTTAATGTTATGTTTATTTTACCATAATGTTTTTAAAAAGAGAGAGCATTAGAGATTATGTAAACCAATGCTCCCCTTTTACAAATGAGACAACAGAGACTCAGAACAGGTAAAGGATTTGCCTAAAGTCCAACAGGCATTCTAGCCACAGAACCAGGATAAAAATCTAGGTCTTCTGAGCTCCTTCCAATGTTCTTTTTGCACATCCAAGTGATAATGTATGCCGTCTTTCTCCAGAGGTATTCTTCAGAAAATATGCATCAGAAGAAAGCACACTTGAGAGTGAGCTCCAAGTGATACCCACAACAAAAGTCTCCTTTAGCAATAAGCTGAAAGATTTTTTAAAAATACCCTCAACTCCTTGTTTCCTAATTTACGCTGGAAACCAACTGGACTTCCTACCACATCTCTTTGTGAAACCAAAGAAAATCAACCAAAATTACAAATCTTTCCATTTGTTATTAAGCCCTGCAGCTCCAACTGGCTGAAAACAATAGCTCAGAAATGATTAACAATTGTGAATGGCTCAATTTGTAAACTGTAAAAATAAAACATCCTAGAATGGTTAAGTGAACTAAATGGAACCAAAATGGTCTTGGGCAATTTCCCCTTTGAGAAAGAAAATTAGACTAAATGAACGAATTGACAGGACATTTAAAATTCTGTCTCCAGCTTCCCTCGTGAAAATGCTTAGCTCTTCCTAAGAAGAAACACGTGGTTTGTTTTATTATCTCTGCTGCCACATGTTTCTTACACCGACTATCAGTTTCAGTCAAAATGTGCTCACAAAACTCAAAGTTTTGTGAGTCAACTGAATTATTATTCAGATAGGAAAGAGATTTCTTACTCATGTATCCACCCCACAAACAGCTCTTACCCTAGCTGAGAAAAGACAAATCCAAATCACCCTTTGGTACAGGTTTTATTTATTAAGGCACGATAGATTTCAACATTCACAATCCACATATGTACTGCCTCATTTACAAATCCTCCATGAAAAGAAGACAAGACATCCTCAAAAGAATTTGATATGAAATCTTTTAAGGGACGCCTGGGTGGCTCAGCGGTTTAGTGCCTGCCTCTGGCCCAGGGCGTGATCCTGGAGACCTGCTATGGAGTCCCACGTGGGGCTCCCCACATGGAGCCTGCTTCTCTCTCCGCCTATGTCTCTGCCTCTGCCTCTCTCTCGATCTCTCTCTCTCTCTCTCTCTCTCTCTGATGAGTAAATAAAAATCTTTTTTAAAAAAATCTTTTAGGAAGAGAAGTAAAATGGCATCTTGTACCCAGTCGCAAACAACCAACTGCCCCCCACCCCCCGATGTTGAATAAAATGAATTGATCAGGGGATCCCTGGGTGGCTCAGTGGTTTAGCGCCTGCCTTCGGCCCAGGGCGTGATTCTGGAGTCCTGGGATGGAGTCCCACATCAGGCTCCCTGCATGGAGCCTGCTTCTCCCTCTGTGTTTCTGCCTCTCTCTCTCTCTCTCTCTCTCTCTCTCTCTCAATCTCTCTCCTGAATAAATAAATAAAGTCTTTAAAAAAAAAAGAATTGATCAAGATGTGTTCATCAATGGACTCAGCTATAAGCTGGTCCTTGTTTTAATTCTGCCCCCACCACTTACTGACTAGCACCTCAGTTTCTCTTCTGTAAAACGGGAATAATAATTAGAAGACCTACATCACAAGATTGCTGTGGGAGTTTCATTTAGTAATAAAATGTTGAGCATAGATAGCATCTACCTGAAGGAAATGCTCGATAGTTGTTAAATCCAACTCTGTTTCATCATGAACATCATCTATTTCATATGAACTCAACTAACACCATAAAAGAAATTTAACTGATAAAAAGCAATAAGGTCTATTGTCCTTCTTTTTACTTTTGATTTTTTTAAAGTTCCTCTTGCAAGGCTGAGTAACATACTTCTTGTTGTCGTATCAGGTACACATTTAAATAGGGTGTGGCACTGTTTAAAGGGATGGACACACACACAATCTTCAAAACAGCTTTTTTGAATTAGATCATCCCATCTCATAGATGAGGAAACCAAGGCAGTGAAGGTGAGTCAATCCCACAGCATATCAGTATTAGAGAAGGGAAGTGAACCACAGTGTCCAACTCTATCCCTCCATCACCCAGGGCACAATGTCATAAGCCACCACAGGCAAAAGTGCAAGCTGAAGCACATACATGGCCATGGTTGAGGCAGCATCACAGCCTGAAGCATAAGCCAGGGAGTGGCGGGGGGGCGGGGAGCAGGTTCCCCTGAGAGCTGAGCTAGGTCAGAGTCCAGGTCAGTGCCAGGGACCAGGAACCTAGGAGAGGAACCTTGGCCCAAAGGGCAGGCCCCAGGAGGTACAACAGGGCACTGGCCGCACCCATAATTTGGATGTGAAGCTACCTGATGCCAACCAGGGAGTCTGAACATTACATGGGGTGGGCCCACCCCCCTCCCTGAGCGGGGCTGCCTGCCTTTTAGAGAGAGCCCTGCCTGGGCCCCTAAGGCCAGCAGTGAGGTGAGGGGGACAGAAGGTGGCTGTTCCTGAGCAGCATGGGGGAGACCAGCCCTCATGGACAATCAACTAATGATAATCGCAAATTACCATGGTTGTTGTTAAGAGCCTTAACTCCTATCTCCAGGTTCATCTACAGACCTTGGGCGACCTTAGACAAATTAATTCTTCTCTAGCTCCCAGTCTCAGGTATGGTCTATAGTAGACATTTTATCGCTGCCTCTCCTCAGGGGATTAATGGCTTTTTTTTTTTTTTTTTTTTTGGCTCCATGGCCTAATTGCAGGTGGGGTTAAGGACATTTTTCAAGGACTTTAATACCTTTACATGAAAGATGACACTAAGATACAAGACTCACCTTATTTCTATATATATTTATATATATGTGTGTGTGTGTGTGTGTGTGTACATATATGTGTTTGTGTGTGTGTGTATATTTAAGAAGACATATATATTTCCCTATTTAAAAAGGTGAGTTAGAACCTATGCTTGAAAGTATATGCTGCAATTCTCAATTCACTGTGCAGTTTTAATTCCCTATTAATATCACTTAGGTAGCCCTTTAAATTCATTACAAATAAGCTTTATTACTGCCAAACACACATACATGTTATAATGCACAAAGCTGCATAATATAAAATTACAGTGTGAAAAAATACAAGGATTCAGGAAATTTAGATTCTGACTTCACCTTTTAATTGCCACATGACCTCACTCAAATCATGTAACTTCTTTGAGGGTGAGTTTTCTCTGCTATAAAGGCATACCTCATTTTATTGCACTTTGCTTTAGCATGCTTTGAAGATACTGTGTTTTTTACGAATTGAAGGTTTGTGGCAGCCCTTTGTCGAGCAAGTCCATCAGTGTCATTTTTCCAATGGCATTTGCTCCCTTTGTGTCTCTGTGTTAAAATTTAATGATTCTCATAATATTTCAAATTTTTCATTATGATTACATGTGGTTATGATGATCTTTAATGTCAGTATTGTATTTGTTTTGAGGAGCCACGAACTGCATCCATATAAGATGATAAACATCAATGACAAATGTGTGTGTTCCATTCCACTAACTGGCTGCTCCCCATCTCCATCCCTCTTCTCTGGGTCCCTAGCCCCTGAGACACAACAATACTGAAATAAGCCAACTGGTAACCCTACAGTGGTCTCTGAGTGTTCAAGTGAAAGGAAAAGTCACATGTGATTTAAATGATTTAAGTAATTTAAATCACTTTAAATTAAGCTTAGGAAGGAAGGCATGTTGAAAGCCTAGATAGGCTGAAAGCTAGACCTCTTGTACCAAACATTATCCAAGTTGTAAATGCAAAGGAAAAGTTCTTGGAAAAAAATCAACAGTGCTACTCCACTGCACATATGAATGATAAGAAAGAGAAACCTTGCTGATATGGAGAAATTCTGAGTGGTCTGAACAGAAGAATAAAGCAACCACAACATTCCCTTAAACCCAAGCCTAATCCAGAGCAAGGCCCTAACTTTGTCATTCTGTGAGGGCTGAGAGAGGTAAGGATACTGTAGAAGAAAAGTCTGAAGCTGGCAGAGGTTGGCTCACAAGGTTTAAGGGAAGAAGCCAGCTCTAGAACATAAAGTACAAGGTGAAGCAGCAAATGCTGGTATAGAAGCAATAGCAAGTTATCCAGAATTATCTAGCTAAGTTAATTAATGGAGGTGGCTACACTACACAAAAGGTTCTTCATAGATAAAACAGCCTTCTAATGGAAGAAAATGTCATTGAAGACTTTCATAGCTACAGAGGAGAAGTCAATGCTTGGCTTTAAAGCTTCAAAGGACAGACTGACTCTCTTTTTAGGGGCAAATGCAGCTGATGACTTGAAGCTGAAACCAATGCTCACTGACCATTCTGAAAATCCAAGGGCTCTTAAGAATTATGCTAAGCCTACTCCGCCTGTGCTCTATAAATGGAACAACAAAGCCTGGATAACAGCTCGTCTGTTTACAACATGGTTTATTAAATATTTGAAGCACACTGTTGAGACCTACTGCTCAAAAAAAAAATTTCCTTTCAAAACATTACTGCTCATTGACAATGCACCTGGTCACCCAAGAGCTCTGATGGAGACAATGAGATGAATGTTATTTTCATGCATGCTGACACAACATCCATTCTACAGCCAATGAATCAGAGTTTTTGACTTTCAAGTCTTATCTAAGAAACACATTTCATGGCTAAAATCAAAAACTCAAGAAACAAATGTTGGCAAGGATGAAGAGAAAAAGGAACCCTCATGCACCGTTAGCGGAAATGCAAACTGTTTACAGCCACTATTGAAAACAGTATGGAGGTTCCTCAAAAAACTAAAAATACAATTACCTTATGATCCAGCAACTGCACCACTGGGTATTTACCCAGAGAATAAAAAACACTAATTCAAAAGGAGGGCGATAGATAGATAGATAGATAGATAGATAGATAGATAGATAGATATAGATATCCCTATGCTTACTGCAGCATTACTCACAATAGCCAAATTATGGAAGCAACCCAAGTGCCATCATTAAATGAATAAAGAAGATGTGGTGTATATATTCAATGGAATATTAAGCCATAAAAAGAATGAAATCTTTCCATTTGCAACAACATGGATGGAGCCAGAGTATGATGGTAAGCAAAATAAGCTAGTCAGAGAAAGACAAATACCATATGATTTCATTCATATGTGGAATTTAAGAACAAATGAACAAAGGGGAAAAAAGAGACAAAACAAGAAACAGAAAAAAGTCTTCACTATAGAGAGCAAACAGATGGTTACCAGAGGGGAGATGGGTAGGGAGATAGGGGAAATGGGTGAATGAGATTAAGAGTACACTTATCTTGATGAGCACTGAGTAATACATGGAATTGTTGAATTGCTACATTGTACATGTGAAACCATATGACTTCTGTATATTAACTAAACTGGAATGAAAATTCTTTAAAATTAAAGATAAATAAATAAAAGGAAACACATTTCATAAGGCTAATGACCTCGTAATGATTCTCTGATGGATCTGGGCAAAGAAGATTCTACCTGTTATAAAGAATATTCAGGATTCATGATAAGAGGTCAAAATATGAACGTTAGCAGGAGTTTGCAAGAAGTTGATTCTAACCCTTGTGGGTGACTTTAAGGGATTCAAAACTTCAGCAGAGGCAGTAAATAACTACATTTGTCAAGGAAATAGCAAGAGGACTAAAATTAGAAGTGGAACTGGTGGAGGAGATGGGCAAAATGGATGAAGGGGAGTGAGAGGTACGGGCTTCCAGTTATGCAATGAATAAGTCATAGGGATAAAAGGCACAGCACAGGGAATAGAGTCAATGGTATTACAGTAGCGTTGTACGGTGACAGATGAGAGCTACACTTGTGGGGAGCACAGCAGAATATACAGACTTGTCTACTCAGTATGTTGTACACTTGAAAGTAATGTAACAGTATGTGTCAACTCTAATTCAACTTTTTTAAAAAATGGGCCCATCTCATGATCAAACTTGAACAGATGAGGAGTTGCTTCTCATGTATGAGCAAAGAAAGTGGCTTCTTGAGATGGAATCTACTCCTGGTGAAGACACGGTAAAGATTGTTGAAATGACAACAAAGGGTTTAGAAAGTACATCAACTTAGGAGATAAAGCACCAGCAGATGTTTGAGAGGACTGACTCCAGTTTTGAAAGAAGTCCTACTGCAGAAGGCTATCAAACAACATCACACATTACAGAGAAGTCATTGGTGAAAGGAAGAGTAAATTGATGGGGCAAACTTTATTGTTGTCCTATTTTAAGAAATTGCCACTGCCACCCCAGCCTTCAGCAACCACCACGCAGCTCAGTCAGTAGCTACTGACACTGAGGCAAGAGCTGGTGGAGGCACCAGCAAAAAGATTACGACTCGCTAAAAGCAAAAGTGATGGAGTGATGGTTAGCATTTTTTTTTTGTTAGCAATAAAGTACTTTTCATTTGAGGTATATGCTTTAACCATGCTATTGCACACTTGACAAGCTACAATATAGTATCAACACAACTTTCATTATGCAGTGAAAACCAAAAAATTCATTTGACTCGCTTTATTGCAGTATTCACTTTACTGGAGCGGTCTGGAACCAAACCCACTAGCCCCGAGGTATGCCTATACATGGGAATATCTGTTTGCTTAGCAATTGAGATCATTGAGGATCATTGGGAAAATCAAATTAAGTGAAATGTTGGAAAATGTTTTATTAAACACAAAGGATCTTAAAACCAAAGGAAATCATTATTATTGTTCCTGTATAGGAAACCTACAATACAGTTAGAACAGATAATACTCTGTTGACAAAAGAGACTTCCTATTAAAAAATGCTTTTACACTAACTGTGGGATAAAAAAATTAAAGTCAACTGAGCCTTAACTAATATGATAAAGATAACTGATATTCTTTTTTTTAATAAAATATTTTATTTATTTATTCATGAGAGACAGAGAGAGAGGCAGAAGCAGAGACACAGACGGGGGAAGCAGGCCCTTTGCAGGGAGCCCGATGTGGGACTCGATCCCGGGACTCCAGGATCAAGCCCTGGGCGAAAGGCGGGCGCTAAACCAATGAGCCACACAGGCATCCCAAGACAATTGATATTCTTAAACTACCGTTTCTCATTTAAAAAAATATATTGTGGGGATCCCTGGGTGGCGCAGTGGTTTGGCGCCTGCCTTTGGCCCAGGGCGCGATCCTGGAGACCCGGGATCGAATCCCACGTCGGGCTCCCGGTGCAGGGAGCCTGCTTCTCCCTCTGCCTATGTCTCTGCCTCTCTGTCTCTCTCTGTGTGACTATCATAAATAAATAAAAAAAAAAAAATTAAAAAAAAAATATATTGTTTCTCTTTCGCATCTGCTAAACTCATCTAATGCAAAGCCTAAATGGTAAACTCTAGGTGAAGTTCTTGAACATAATCAATGATGAAAAAAGCAGCAGCTCTGAGATCTGGGTAAGTGTTGTCCTATCTCCATTGGTCCCCTGGGGTCTATCCGAGGTTCCTGGGTACAACTGTGCAAGGAGCCTGGAAGTCACCTTTGGGGTCTCTTACACAGTGCCACCTTCAGGGAGAAGGATACTCAGGCTCTTGTGACCCCGGGGACATAGCCTAAGACTACTTTCTCAGACTGGGAAAATGAAGCCCATGTTTAGATACAATCAGACTAGAAAAAACCACAGTATCCAGGCAAGCTTCTAAAATGTCTTACTCCATTTCAAAATACTTTTTCTTAAAATGAAATGTGAAACCTACTTGGTCTGCTTTAACTATTTTTTTTTTTTTTGCTTTAACTATTAAAGGGTTTTTTTTCATCAACCTTATCTGTAGGTTGCCACTAGGGATTAAAAATCTATGTTGACCAACATTTCATTAATTCATTAAAAAAATTGGTAACTATTGAAAGATGAAATTATTATAGCACCCATTAAAAAAAATACAAATGAATCTCTGACAGGAAGAGTAAATTTGATGAGAAAAGTACCTTAGATTGCTTGACCTCTTCCTTTGTATCTTCAGAAACCAAAGCAAAAGCTGGAAAAGAGAAAACATTTTTACATGAAAATTATCAATCAGGATTCATTCTCACATTCAACACTGGTGCTTAAAATAAGGAAAAAAGAGTACTTCAATAAGACACACTTTGCTCATTTTTAAAAGCAGCTGCATTGCTACAAACCAGCACCGCAGGCCACCTTCATCACTGGACCTGAAATTATTCGTCGGTGGGGAGCCAACGTGCTTAGGCTACCAGCTTAAAAAATACTACATCAAAGAAATTAGAATCTGTATACTGTTTTGTGTCTACGGGTACAAAGTACACCTTCTTAGCAACCTCGATTCTGGGAAGGGGAATTCCCGAGAATCCAGAGGGAAGCAGTACAAATTCCTACTCACATAATCACTGCCAGAGCCTGGCAGGCAACAGAGCTAAATCTGGGGCAAGCTTTCAGTCTCCGGGGCTGCCAGGTTAGGAGCGGGGTGCAGGTAATGCTGCCACATGCAGGCAGGAGGTAACAGAGCCCACTACCGCGATGTGGCCAAGAGAGTCAGGGAGTTAAAATCATTCTCTATTTAAAATGATTTAATGTTTTGAGTTGGAGCCCATAAACAGATAAAGATATCCCTACAGACACACCTGGGCTCTACATTTAGAAGAACAAGAAAAACAAAACATGACAGAAACACTTGGAAAATACAAAGCAAAATAAACCCAATAGTCAGGAAGGTTAAGTGGACAAAAAAATAACATACTTTAATTTTATAGTGCATCCCTCCTGAAGAGCTAAGAGGAAAACACCTCATAGAGTCTGCTTTCTCTAATTAGCATCCCCAGGAGAAAATGGGCAATGGCATAGGGCAGTAATGTACTAAAAGTGCAGGACAGCTGATTCCATGAAACAGTAGTATCATACAAGGAGTTTCAGCAGGTTTCCCCCATGTAACAGAAGAGGCCCTCCTGAGAAGCAACAGACCACTTCCCCCATTCAGAAACCCCCTCTGGTCCCTCCCCACCCTGAAGCCCAGACAGCCACTGCCTCAAATTCTCTCTCCACATAACACATGCTCAAAGGAAATAATCGAAAACATTCACACTAAGAAGCAAATGACTGACGTCATTTAATCATTTCCATTTCTGGGATGACATTTCAAAAGGCAGGGTGGAACTGAAATGTAAGCCAAAGGAACCTCTATGTGTAGAATTTAGTTAACAGCAGGTGTTACAGGAGGCCTCCCTGAGACCACCTCATATAAATAATAAGTCCCCAACTCCACCCCTCCTTACCTTCCCCACTTTTTCTTTTCCTCCAGAGCACTTACCACCACTAATATAATACATATTGATGTGTTTTTTGCTTGTCTTACATATTAGTTTATTGTAAGCTCCATGAAGGCAGGAATGTGATTTTATTTACCATCTGCCCCATATCTAGGACACAGCCAGCACACAGAGGACAATCAATATCAAATGAATGAATCAATGAATGAATATATGCAATTCTTTACAATGGCGCTGGGATCCCATTATTTACAGGCTGTTTACTCCTTCCTCTAAGTAGCATCCACCAAGCAAAATAAAGGAATTTAGTGTGTCCTCCAACATCAACTTATTCTCAGGAGTGTCTGATCTGCTTTCTCATTTTACACACACACACACACACACACACAGACAAAAGAAGGCAACCACAAAGCCCAAATCATCATTAAATTCTAAAAAGAAAGGAGAGATTTAACCCCAAACACCATTTTAAATTCTTCTGGGTATTTAATTCTTTGTTTTTGTCATATTTTATTTCCTCCAAACTAGCATGCATACTTAAAGCCCTCAAGAAGATACCAAAAATAGGAACTATTAATGAATAGTATATAGGGAAGTCACCACACGTTAATATCACTCAGCACCACAGATTTCCAAGAGAGAGAACATTCCAACAACTTGCAGGATACAAAAACCATGGTCAATCTAAGTAAGACACAACTCTAAGTTCAAAATCCTTCTCTGCTGACTCCATCAATTCTTAATTTCAAACAGACAGTCAAAGCTCTCTGGGCTAGAATTCCTTCTTTCGTCAAGATAAAAAAACCTTCTCGGTTTAACACGTTCAGTGACTCATCATCTAATAACCAGGATTTAGTCTTTCCTCACTTTTTTTGCAGGCCAGATGGCTATGTAAAAAGAAGAGTATGTCAACATGAAAGCCCTTTAGAATGCAGACTCTATACTGAAGAAAACATGTCTTTATTTGGTATTGGTTCTGAGAGTTACTAACACATCGCCTTTCATAAGCAAGCAACTAATGTCATTTGACAATGTTTCATGTAGGAATTATATGGAGGGAAGACATTCCCAATAAAATAAGTGAATTCCACAAATCCTCCTTGTCATAATCAAGATAGCATACTTCTATCCAGGCAACACTTAAATGAAGAGTAAACTAGACTTTAGTTCCCTTTGAAAATACAAAGGCCTAAAGTTAAAATATCCTTAAACACACACACACACACACACACACACACACAGGGACGCCTGGGTGGATCAGTGGTTGAGCGTCTGCCTTTGGCTCAGGGCATGATCCTAGGGTCCTGGGATCAAGTCCCACATCGGCCTCCCCCCGGGGAGCCTGCTTCTCCCTCTGCCTATGTCTCTGCCCCTCTCTGTGTGTCTCTCATGAATAAATAAATACAATCTTTAAAACACACACACACATACACACACACACACCTGTCATTTGTCCCGATCACACTCTGCTGTGAAATTAAGAACTCCTTTTTTCCCCATGACAGAAATAAAGTAGACAATATTTAAAGCAGTAACAAGGAGGTGCCTGGCTGGCTCAGTAGAGCATGTGACTCTTGATCTTGGGGTCATGAGTTCAAGTCCCACATTGAGCATGGAACTTACTTAAAAAATAAACAAGTTAAGCAATAAAGTAAGAAATGTATCAGTTACTTTTAGGTATAAGAGTAAATCATATGGCAAGATAACCCTCATTTAATATTTACAGAAATACTAGTTGGTTTTATCTTTATGTTTCTACAATCTAAATAAAACAAATCACCAAGGAACCAAGTGCATTTTGAAGGCACAGAATATGCTATGCCACTAATAAACCCAATCTTAAAATAATGAATCCTTTACAAAATTCCTACCAACAAAATCCTGGCTTTCACAGTTGCTGCAAATGCAGGAGAAATGGTAAAATTAAAGGAGAAAGTGAGAAAAATCAGCAAGCGAAGAAATTACCTGTCACCTTCAATGACCCTAATAAGAACACACAGTGGGGCTTTAACACAGCGTGCCTGAGAGGTGGGGGGAAAGAGGAGGGAGGAAATGATCCCCCAACTCTGCCAAAGGGAGTGGCCACCTGGGGCTGGATGTTTGCTGTTTAGCTTCATACTAATTTCCAGAGTCAGTGGGGAAAAAATATTCTTGAAAGCTTGGCCTTAATGTGCACTTGGAGAACTATTCCAAGGTAAATCATGTTCTTATATGCCAAACTGCTGTTTAAAAGTAATTTTCCCTTTTCTATTTTCAACATGAATTCCTGTGAATTGCTACAGGGAACTATATTTAAAGTGCAAATCAGGACGGGCAATAGAAATAAGACCTTTCCGAGATAACTTTAAATAATTCAAGCCAACTAATGTGTTAGCACACCTATTCTAAGAGATAAATCAAGATTTTACAAGTAACCTGGGACTAAAATTTATAGGCCAGCCTAAGCCCCCAGAGTGCCAGAAAACTGGAGAGAAATTAATTGCAACACATTTAAGCAACACTAATCAAGTTTCTTTTCTTTTTCCTGGGAGGGAGTGAAGGACCCCATGCCCATGCAGGAAAGATGAGTGTACCTCCTAGCTCGTAACTCCGTTTTGTTCCTAGTCCCTGGTATGTCCTCCCAGATTCTCCCAGGAACATCCATCATAGAAACCGTGTTAAACACAAAAAAAAAAAACAAAAACCACTGAGACACTAAATAAGCCCAGTCAGAGGGGTGCTGCCAGGATTAAGTGAGATAATAGACACAGCATTTAGCGTGCAGCTCAGCATATTAAAAGCTCAGGAGATGCTGCAATGATGCCGCTGGTGGTGCAATGAACACTGTCAGTCTGGGCGGTGTCTAGGTGGTCGCAGGCCCTACGCTAAAGCTGGGAGGGAGGGAGGGAGGAAATGAAAGTGGGTGTCCCCAGCCCCACCATCCAGAACAAAGCCCCAGCACACCCCCGGAAGCTTGCAGCCGGGACCCCTGGGAGGCCCAGGGTCTCATACTGGCTCTGCCCCACATTTCCTTTTGACACACTGTGAGAGGGAGCCTGTGGGGCTTCACTCGCTTTCCTGTGACCTACTTACAAAATGTTTCACCCAGCACAGCTCCTCCCCGAGTGGCTCCAGCTCCCCAGAGCTTTCCAGGCTGAATTCCAGGTGGTCCAGAGGAGGGGAGGCCCAAAGCGCCAGGATGCACAGCCCACAGATCATTTACTTAGCTCTGATTACCTGCTTTGAAGATAATCCATGGCAGCAGAGCTACAGGGAAACAACAAACGCATCAACCCAGCGATGGGGACCGAGCCTGCCTTTCCTTCCTCCTCTTCAGACAAATCTGCTGTCCCTGGGGTGGTGCACATGCTGGGCACCAGCTCCATCCACGTACCTTGAGGCACCACCACCCAATCTGAGGATGGGGCCCCCACCTCCTCGCACTCCACATGGGCCCAGGACACAACCAGCCCTGACATGCAGCCACAGATCAAATGATTTAGCATGCGTTATATTTCTAGAACAGGGCCTGGCACATGCTAAATGTTTTGGGCCTTAGCAGCTATTGTCATTACTATTAGTTTACATTTTCATTTGTGCAACAGAAAATCAGAGAGTGGCTGCGTTTACTAGTGCCACATGTCATGCTAGGGGCTGGATAAGATGAAGCAGCAGCTGCCCAAGGAGCTAAGTGACACACAGGTCCCTTGGTCAACAACCAAGCCCTCAAGTGTCCACTCTAATGACTGTCATTCTAACGGGAGTCCCTAAGGGA